TTGTGTCGCAGTTCCAGTGCAATCGGTTATCCTTCTTCAACAAGTAGAAAATATCTCGGTCCTAATTGTAAATCAAAATTACCTAATATCCTGTAGAAAGCTTCAACTACAGAATATTGAAGATAATTTTCACCCGACAACATTAGGAACCGATAACGAAAATTTTTCGTCTCACGAAGTTGAAGGAAATCGGTAACTTCCGGTTTGTATGAAACTTGAGTAAAAATGACACAGTGTTATCTATGAAATAGGGATTTGAAGAGTAAATTTGTCGGAACAAGGCTTGTCGAGGCTGAGAATGGTGATAAGGTTAATGAAAGTTAAAGAGGTATAAAAAGTCATGTGAATATTTTTGATTCGGTATGTCAATTAAGATAGGGAGGTCTTATCTGTCGCTATGAGCGTTCAGCGCATGAGGATGCGTAAAAGGCGGGAAGCACATAGAGGGTAGTACATAGAAGGCACATAGGGGTTTGCACGCCGGGAGAACTTTATGGGGGCCCCAAGTATATTTCCTGATTGAGCGGACTAATCCACGCAAAGGAGGTTTTATCGTCGAGGTATACGTAATCGAAGGGGTCTCGTCTTGCGCGGATGTCGTGTATGGAGAAGTTATGTCGGAACGAAGTAGTTTTCTGAAAATCTTCCAATCTGTGCCTACGCTTGATTATAGGTGACCATGAAAATAAAAAATAATCTACAATTTTTTTCAACGTCTCCCTTGCTAATCAATCCTCCTCCCTTAAGGCGCGTTTACATCAAACGAAAGAACGCTCCTTCACCCCAATTTCCAAAAATTCTTCATACATCCGGCATTTGTTTATGCTCGTTTCGATTTGAATTTTCGGAAACGAACGAGAGCATTCGTTCGTTCGGTTTAAACGAATCTTTACTCCGTTTCTTGCAAACTCACCTTGTGCTCGGAAATTGATCACGTTTCGTCGTTCGTTTTCATCGGGGCGTCCCCCGGAGACGGTGGTAGTATTTACTATTACGTCACGCAGTGCCATCATTATTCCAAGTATCCACCGTACAGATTTCCATCGTCGAAGCTGGCTTCGCCACGAGATTTGTCTGCGGCGATGTTTACGATAAGCATAAACCCGCGAAAAAGTTTCGAGTCGAGGTTTAGGATCGAAATCGAATCCTGTCGATTTGTCCTCCGAGGGAATCGGGCTGCTGGCCCCTCTGGCACCCCTGTCGAATCGCCTCCAAGTCTTCCCAGAAACTGAGAATTCGAGACATGGCCTGGGCGGGTCTGCGACGCGGTCTTTTAATCGTAACTTGCGGCCTGATAGTAAGCGGGCCAACCTATACGGGAGGTCTATTTTTATTGTTCCCGCGATAGTAGAGTTGTGCGTCCCGTATTTACGGCGGCACGGGGAGGCAGGAGGTTTGGAGAGGGTCCTGCATAAGCGCACCGCAGGATCCGGGGCTTACCCTCGTTATTGTCCATTTCGATGGTAACCAAGAGAGGAGACTTCGATCAGAGAGAAAGTTCGTCAGTTCGTGTTATGCGCTTTCGAAATCGCAGCAACTGATAGGACGCTCGGAGAAGTGATATACGGAATATACTTGTGGTGTCGGTATCGTAATTCCCAATCGGTTGGGTAAGTAGTAACACTTGACGACAGATTAAAATTAAACAGCGAGGGAAAATGTATAATACGAAAGAACGATAAAATGTATATCAACTATATTTTATCGGTACTGTAAAAAAAAAATCAATAACGGGTGTTGAATTGATTTTCGAACGGTCTATCGTTTAATTCGAAAGTGATTCCATTTACAAATCCGCACCTGAAATTCAATATTCAAATTCACTATCTCTCTTCGTACATCCTAGAACGACTGTAACAACACCCTCCTTCGAAGTCGAGTGTACATCGACGAACAACCTCCGCAATGTTTCAAACGTCCACCTAGCGTTAATTCCACTTTACGTCAGGATCGGTGGTGCAAAACCGGGGTCAGATTACGTTTCGGCCAGGGTCTCATCCAATAAAAGCGGCAAAAGGGTGACTGCTAAGCGGCTGGTCAGTTCCGTGGTTGGTTAATGTGTGGACACTTCGTGTTCACGGCTGTATCAGGGCAAAGAATGAATATTCAACAGTAAACACCGGGGCCAGCGGCGGTTTGCAAAAGGGTTCGTGCGAGATAGAGAAGGGAGAGCAAGGTGGTTCCAGTTCCAGTACGGGGGAGATCTCCCGTGACTTGTGCAGATATAAACGTGGGCCACGGCTGAGAGGGACATTGTTTACGATATTACATCTGTAATACCGGTCAAGTGACCAGCGTCCACCGGCGGTTCCGTAATCTCCTCTGTACCAGGACTTCGTTCTACGGCCAGATACAGCACGCGTCGAGCTGCTACGGGCTTATAATGGTGGCTTCGTAAGTGCATTAAGGCCACCGTGTGCCCGGTTTAACACGTTTCTCAAGTATCTGCTGCAGCGTGCACGTACCCGCGTTATTTATGCACAGCACGACGATCGTTGGATTATTTTTCTAATTCTGATAACCTGGTGAGAATGAATCGACGATGTGTTTGTAAACACGTTGTTTGGAGGATGGAATTAAAAGTGATTTGCATAAGATTGTTCGGTGGCGTTTGTTGAATTAACAGCGTGTTTACGTATTTTGCTTGATAGATGAAACGAATGGTGATTGAAGTAAGAGATTTACTGTGTATAATATTAACATTTTTTTTGATATTTTCCAGGTAGATATGAAAACTGATTACAGTGAATGGAAATACTCGTTACCTATCGCTCCTAAATTTTCCATCTATCCGTTTTGCAATTCTATTCCAAATTTCCTGCAAGAATAGAAAAGAAACACAGCAGTGCACAGGTATTGTATTTTTTCTTTCAATCTTCAATTTCAAGATTAAGGAACTGCGTGTACTCGTAGAATAACCAGAGATTACAACGTATTCGAGGTCGATGGCCTTCACTCGAATGAATAAAATTATCGGCAATCAGAATTCCTAGATTTCGTTTCTCCTGTAACCCGCAATTTACTGTTAATTAATACAGCGATTTCATCGATACCAACTGTCCGCTACAGAAGTCGCTGGCCGAAGGACAAACATCGCCGTAGCTGGGGAGGACGGTGTTTTGATTCTGGCTGTTATAGGGAAGACATATATCACTGGTCCACCCCATTGCTATAGATGCCAGTAGTTAGGGTGGCGATGCTGGGAGGGCCGGATGGACACACGGCGATTTATTGCCACGTTCGATATATATGATTATTTAAATCTTTTTCAGCTGCTGCGGTCATTCGACGTTTCAGGGAGTTAAAGTCACAGTGGTGTAAGACACATTTCCGAGAAATTTCGATCTAAGCGCTGAAATGCAACCTACACTTGCGAAACTGTTGAAAAGACACGTGAAGTAAAGTTATAATTGGGACACGCTTTTTGGTAACGTTGAATACGATACAGTACCAAATTTGATACTGTGCAATTTATTTCATCACTTCTAATAACATTCTCCACTTCTCGGAATAAGAAAACTGTGACTTTAACCCTCTCAGTTTTGCCTGATGGTGTAGAAATTAATTCGCTGCCATTTTTTTCATAATGTCTTATCGACGACATTATCGACTAAACGCCGCTGTATTTTTTCAGGGATGGAATTCGTCAGTTACCTGATAAATAGAGAAAGATCAGCGAAAATAATGGAGATTTTTTTGAACATTAAAATTGCGTCTGATTTTCTGTAAATAAACTTGTAGGACAAAATAGGGAAAAGTTAGAAATGTTAAAATTGACAAAAACGAGAAACGAGGAAGATAGAGTAAGTAAATGGATAAATTACGAAATTTAGTTAACTCGATGAACTTGAGTTTGCTCCAAATCTTTCTGAACTTATTCAAACTTACAATACAAAAAGTACCCGAAAGGAATTGTAATCGAGTGTAATTGATTTATTCCAAGCTTCTAGCACGCAATTTACAAGGAACAGGACCAGTGCAGAACACACCCGTTACAAGATCCAGTTCGACTTGTAAATTCGCGGTGTGAAAAGCAGAAAGGCGTGTAAACGTAGACGCGAATCGATCTTCGATGCTGGCCAGGAAGTCCAGCAACACGTTTCCGTTATGGAGATTGGTTCTGCTCGTGGAATACAAAGTGTGCGTGTTGTATCCGACGTAACAGTGAAAATACGGACATGATCTTGAACCGCGCGCGTATGCTTCGCGCGAGTTTATTGAGATTGACACTTGCCTTTACACGGAGGATCTTTAAATTTAACTTCACCCGGACGTTATTTGCATAATTCAGCCTACGAACGATTCGACGAATACGTACGATTTCTGAAATATAGGCAAACTTCTCGAAAGAATGAAATAAACTTCTCTAATTTTTTGTCAATTCAAGTAAGTGCAAAAAGTTGACGCGCGAATCTTTGCAGTGTCAAATCTGCAATAATGTAGTGTCTCTGTAAGTATGAATTTTATACTCTTTATACGTGTATTTTTTTCTTTTTTTTTTTTTTGATAGGACAGATTAACAAATTTTCTTAATATTAGAAACATTTAGTTGGCAAAGTCATTTTGCCAGTTCCATATCTCTATCGAAGGCTACGAAAGAGGGTTACAATGCAGAAGAGGGCCGCGACGAATTCAAAGTTCACAGCGAATACAAAGAGCCGGGTCGATGGATTGTCTAACGCCGTGTCTGACAGGAAAGTCGAAATCTGTCGGTGGCAGAAATATTCGAAGCGCACGGCGTATTTCACGCCTAATTTCTCGCAAATTCTGTGCTGAATATTCTTCGTTCTCAATCTCATGCGGGCCACGTGCCATTCATCTCATAGCCGGCTGAATTCTCACTGTGCCGCGTTTTGAGTCGTTCTACCTCTTTTTATTTTTTCCCCCTCTTTTCGATCATCCATTCTCTATTTCTATGTTCCAATGCAGTTTGTTAATTTTAGCCTACCTCTTTCTGTACATACATTGTCAAATTTAAAATTCAAGTAACATTTCTTTTAAACAAACACAAATTAGTCATTCTTTCTCCCGTAGTATATCTCATTTATTAATGTTTCCTTACTCAACCCTTGTGCAGGCAGCCAAAATCTTCACGATTCTTTCAAGCTTCAATATTCAAAATTGTTTGCACAAATTTTGATTTCATTTCGGTAAAAATGTGGAAAAAATCGAGATCCAAAGCGATTTCACCGTACTTTCACAAGAGCGTAGAAAATTTTTAAAGAAAACTATAGAAATGGGTACCAGGTTGCCCTACGTAAGGCTAAATAAAAAAATACACTATTCCACTGAAACAAGGGACAACAATAATTCAAATTCTGAAAACTTATTCCATTTGAAAAATTCCCCGTAGGAACCCTTGTGTTCTATATCGCACACCGTAACAGAACACCCGTGCACCGTATTACAGTCATTAACATGGCGAAACCAAAGGCACTCTCTGCGCGGAGATATTTCGGTCAGAGAACGTGCGTTGTACTCGGATGCCGTCGGTTCACCCCATATTTCTTTCCAGGCCGGTCCATCCACCACCCCTCCCACACGCACGCACACCAGCCCAGAAATTCATTAGGGGTATCTGATATTTCTGGTGGTTGGTTCGCGCCGGAATAAATCATACGCGCGGCCCAACGGAAACGTTTTGCCGGTACGCCGAGCTTCTTTCCTGGTCGCATGCGCGATCTATCCGTTTTATCTCCTCCTATGACCGGCGAGAAGGGGGAGGGGGTAGTAGGGGATGAACGTGAACACCGGATAGAGATAAAGGGAGGCGAATAAAATAGAAAAAGGAGGCAAATAGATAGAAAGGGTGGGGGGTGTGTATAGTGCTATAACGGAAGAGAAAAGAAGGCGGGAAAAGGAAGAAAAGGAGAGAGGAATCGGGTACGAAAGCGTTTATACGTCGAAGACGAAGCGGAGAAAGAAGGCTAAACGCTTGAACGTGATCCGAGCTTAAACCGTTCGTGGACATCGAGGAAATCTCGTTACGAACTCGACCACCCGTTACCCC